AGGCTTGGAATAGCATCATATTCAAAATATACAAGGTATATGAATGTATTTATAACTCGCACAGAACTTGCCTAGTCATAGGCCTATATATGGATATACAGTATTTTACGATGTTGCTTGTATACGTATTAGCCCAAATAAAAAAATAATTAATTGTTTAGTGTAACATCTCAACAAAACTTTTTTTTTTTCTCAAATCAATCTCAGTATCAGTAATAGACTATCTATTGGATTAGATGCTACCTTAGCACTGCCATGCCTAGGCACAACTTGGATTGCATAGCCTAGGCTACAAAACTCACACATAACTACTGTACAACATTTTAAATTTCATTCACAAGTCAAAAAAGAATTAATTTTTAATAGGCTAACACTGCATATTACTCCTCTAATTCACTTAAAATACATTGATTTTTGATTAGCTCTTCATGGACAATATCAATTTTTATTTTTTAATTAAAAATTCCCACCTCTAAATATTCTATTATGGGTTGAAAATTTAGGTGGGAGGAGGAGTGGTGACGCTAAACAAGCATTTATTTATTTTGGCCTTATTAGAAAGAAATGTATATATGTTAGGATATATTCATTATTGTTTTATGTGGATATGAGACTAAGAATTGATCACAGACTATAAATGATGGAGATGATCTGTGTTGCTGTTACAGTTTTTAATGGGTAATTATTATATAGTGGATTTTGTTTCATCCAATTTCTTATTATTTAAACTGGTAGCAGATTAATAAGTGCCATCAAAAAAAGTAGAAATAATAATAATAATTTTAAAAATACATCTCTTGTGACTCCTGCTACACATACACATTCAGTGCACTATGATTTTCGCACTGATAATATACATGAAGGGAGACATTCTGATATGTGGCAAAGACAAGCCAAACCAGTCAAAAAAGTGTAGGTACCAAACGAAGGGCCACGCCCACCTCAGGCCCACCATGATTTGGGGCTGAGGTGATGACATTTTTTAGAATAGGCACCTTTAGAAGCCCGGAAATGGCACGGTCAGATTGCAAAAAAATATTCAGCAAAAATATGTCAACTAAAGGACTGTACTTTGTTACACAAAAATTTATATTATATCCATGACTGCATTGTCATAAAAATTGATTATTTTAAATACTGCATGTAATTTGCAATCATTTTCAGTGTACAAATTTAGCCTGGTGTCATAAGCACTAGGCCACCTAGCCTGCGCTTAGTGAGTGCTGAATCCAATCCACAAGTAATAGCGGATATTGCAATGCTATTTCGATGTGTGTCTGGATCAGTAAACCACCAAATAACCACCGGAATTAAGTCTTCTTCAGACATTCGTTAGTTACCCTTGGACACAGAATAAATACAATCCAATCATTGTTGGATATTACTGTTGATGATAAAACACTTACCACAAATTTCCTTAAAAAAAAAATTAAAATAACATTATATTGCAATGGCAATGTCCATGGAGAACATGACGGTGTTTATGACTTCCAAAATGAAACATCTTTGTAGGACTTGTTTACATCTTTTCCTCTCAAGCGGCTTCAAATAGCATCCTACTCAAAATCTATATATACATATATATAAGGTGTATGAATGTAGTTACAACTCACAGAAATTGCCTAGTCATATATATATATAATAATAATAATAATAATAATAATAATTGTTGACTTACATAGTGCATATTCTAGTCTCTACAATATGCGCTATTCAAGTCGACAATTATTATTATTACTATTTAAGTCGACAATTATTATTATTATTACTTAAATAGCGCATATTGTAGAGACCTAGAATATGCACTATGTAAGTCAACAATTATTATTATTATTATTATATATATGACTAGGCAAATTCTGTGAGTTAAATACATGCGCTTACATTATTACCCCCGGTCACTGCGCAGGCTGTGTTTGAACCTACTAGGTACCCTGGGTGGAGAGACACAACGGTAGATAAAGTGCCTTACCCAAGGACACAAGCGACTTGCACAGCGAGAGTTTTGAACCCCCGACCTCAAGGTTGGGAGTCCAAGCCACAACCGATGCGCCAATATTGGAATATTTATATAGCGAATTATGTTAAGCTCTCCATGCACTTCACATTATCCTTACCGCCTAACTCAATGACGGATCCAGGAATTTAAAATTGAGGGGGGCCCAGGGAGGGACTTTGAAAGATGGTGGGTCTATACCACCTCAGCCCCAACTATGGTGAGAAATTTACGATTATGGCACCTGTAGATGGCCGGAAATGGTACTCTCAGAGACTTAAAGTTTGAAAATAATGTTTTGTTTTTTTTTATATTTTACAATTTTGAAAAATTTAGAAAGGATGTAGAAGGGCTAATGTTGA